ACTTTTCTGGTCTTTCTTTTGAAGACGTTTCGCTTCTCATCCAAAGAAGCTTCTTCCGCTCTGACACACAGACAGACTAATGCACTCCACCCTTTCTAATTAAAGTCACAGACTTTTCAATAAATGAATGCTTAAGAATTGGTGTCTTCGGGTTATTTTTAACAAACGTATCACAAACAGGTCGATTGGTCTCCTTTGGCGCATAACAACAACAACAACAACAACAAAAAATGGGGAGAGCAGATTTCGGTGGAAGAGAAAACACCAGAGGTTTGCAAATGCCCCTAAATTAAATTCCAGATCCTGCGGTCCCAAATGCATGCCTTTGCGAAGAATTTATTGCCTCTGCAAAACACGGCTGCAGCCTGTAAGGAGCCGGGGCGGTGAGCGGCATTCAGGAAAGCAAAGAATCGATTGTAGAAATGACCCCCATCCTTTCCCGTCCATAGGATGAGGAAAATATGTGCTGCTTGGATGTACGTACAACGGACACGTACAATGGATACGAGCACGGACACGTACGGGCGCTGGTAATCACGTGGAAGTATTATTTCCGTGTTTCCCCCAAAATAAGACCCTGTCTTATGGGGGGTTTTTTGCCACCAAAAAAGGCATCAGGTCTTATTTTTTGGGGGGGGGGGGATGTCATCTACTGGCTAACTGTCAGGGCTCCAGCAGTTACCCCCCATTTAAATCATGAGTCTCGAGCCAAACTTCCAAAACATCAAAAGGATTTACTGGGAGTTAACATGTCTGGCACTGCCTGGGTGTAGCCGACTCTGAAGTACATAATTCATTGTCACTCTTGAGCCTGGTTTTCCCTCCCACCCCTCTGGGTGTATCCTAATTCATATCCTCCAATGGGACACATCCATAGTCCAGAGTCATCCATCATGCTCTCCAGTTAGAATTTTGCACCGTCACCTAGAAATTATCTTTGAAAAACTATTTATGGAATGCACTTTCGGTTTGCAAGCTGCCGCACTGCTCCCCCCCTCCCTTTCCGTTGGCAACTCTAAAAAGACCAGAGAAATGTTTTATGAGTTGACACTAACCTCACTTGCACGAGTCTTTTCGCTCTCTCTTCTGCGGCTGGCAAGGCTTTCCTGAAGGCCTCTGCAGCCGATAACAGAGCTCAGGATCGATCCGGAGTTTTGTTATCAGCTCTAGGGGTTTTCAGGAAAACCTTGCTAGCCTTGCCAGCTGCAATGAGCCAGCAAGGCAGGGGTCAGGGGTGTGCCAGGCCTGGCTACAACTGTCCAAAGGTAAGTAGTAGGGCAGCTCCACACACACTCATCCCCACCCTCGCTTAATTTTTACCCGTCCACTCTGGAGTGGGTGGGGGTCTTAATTGGGGCTTATTTTGGGTGGGGTAGGGCTCATATTGGGTGCGCGTGTAAAAATCAAACTAGGACTTACTTTCAGGGTAGGTTGTATTTTTGGGGAAACAAGGTGCCACTTTAATAAACCCTAGGAATTCGAGGTATTTCTAGCAGGACTATCAAAATCTGTAACCGCTTTGTTCCTTATGCCACCCATCTGGCAAACTTGCAAAATTTGTTTCTCTCGCCATGTACGCACATGTACACATCTGAATTCAACTGTGCTGTTTCTCCGTGTCATATACTATAGATGGGTATCTGCATAACGTTGTGTTTATTTATTTGTTTTGTCGTGTTTATATTAGAGGCGGAGACCCTATGACAGCTGTATGAAACGTAATTTTATTTTAAGGAATGCTGATTAAAGTGTACATTCAAAGAGACAATAAAGTTCTTCTAAGTCTAAGATCACACTTGGAATATTGCAACCAATTTTGGTCACCAATCTACCAAAAAGATGTTGAGACTTTGGAAAAAGTTCAGAGAGGAGAAGGATTAGGTAGGTTTGTTGTAATAGAAATGGCTAGTTTATATTATTGCATAAAAGTAAAAAGTTGAGGTTTGATGTTATTATCTTATTCTACTGCACCAAAGGGAATAGGAAGTCGATGCCTTTTCGTCTCCCCCTTCTTTTCTACACTTTTCTCTTCCTTTTTCCCTCCCGTTTTCCCTATTATTCGCTTTTGTATTTTACATTATAAACTATCGGCAATTAAAAGGACTGACACGGTAAATTGATGACCACCTGTAATAATCATGATAAAATCCACCCCAAATTTAGCTTATTCAGCATTTTGAAGACAAAAGGGGTCTTAATCAAGATGCCCCATTGAAGGAGATTCACAAGTGGGTTTTTGAAAAGCCATAAAATGTATTTTCTTAGGCAAATTCCCAAACTGACATTCAGAAAGCAAGCGCAGACACTGGAATTATTTGGTGATGCTCCTAACAGGCTCGTAATTTTTCTTCTCTACACATCTCTTTTCCCCTCCCTTCCCTCCCGTATTTTTCCTATTATTTGCTTTCGTAGTTCCGCATTTTACATTACAAATAAAAACTTGTAAAATAACAACCATCAGGACTTACAACCATGATGGGCAGGCTCGGTTGTATGTTGAGGCTGTAATGCACTCAAGAGGCAACGAGATTGCTTCCCTTGGTTTGATGACTTCCAGATCTGTGTCGGAAACTCTGGAGTGCTGGAAACTCACGTGCCAACGTGCACAAAAAGATATCACCTCTGGGACTGGCTGCTATCTACACACTCGGTTGCCTTCTCTGTGGCAATCCGTGCCACGCTGTTTTGTTCCAAGCTCTCTGTTAATGCCAACCGTTGGCTGTCGGTGAGGATTTGAATGCCACCTCCTGTCGCGCATCCTCCAAGTCTTGGCAATGGGCCAGCGGGATCCGACTCCTCTCCAGTCCCCCACCGCGCCCCGGGTGAGTGGCAACCTCATTTGCTAACCAGAAAGCCCCGGCAATTAACATGCCGCTTAATGAGGCCTTCCAAGCCCAGCGTGGGAGTCGGGGAGAAACTGCGCGAGGCAGCGTGGCGTCGCCTGCATAATGAGCGTGCAGCAGCTGGTTGGGGCAGCGTCCTCTTGTCAAGTGGTCCCCGCTTCGTTGACACTCTCCTGTTTGCCAACGGCAACAGAGCGGCAATGGTGCGGGCCTTGTGCGCTCGCCGGGAACCCTCTGTGGATAAACTAGGCGCACCATCTGGCTTGTGTGCCGATCCAGGGCTTGTCAAACCATGGTTATTAGGAGAACACCCCACCTCCCTCCTCTCTTTTCAACTCTTGTCTCTGCTTCTGCGTCACTATCTATCTGTTAGGAAACACCTGCTTCCCTGTGCCTTTGGGCCCATGTGAAGCACACCTGTTGGGTTGGACATGGCTTGCTGTCGCTTTTGTGAGGGAGCCTGGTTGCTTTGTTGCATTTTTTTTTACCTCACGATTGTTAAAATTTATGCACCGCTCGTGTAACCGTTTGTGAGGCTGTTTCTCGATGGAATGGGCAGCGGGAAGGACCTTGAGCAACAGGAGAAAGGAGGAAGAACCCGCCAACAGAAAAGGCAGATAAGAGAAACAGGAGTCTGGTTTCGGAGCTGTAATGTGAGAAAACGACTCTGAGCAGAGTTCCCAAACCTTTTCCTGGTTAGTAGCCTAGAGAAGGGGAATTGGGGGGGGGGGGGGGGGGGAATTACTTGGGGGGAGGGGCAGACATACATGTAAGCGTGTGCCTGCATGTGCCTGTGATGTTCGTGGCGACGCTCATGCGAGGGAGGCCGCAAGTGCCCGCAACGAACCTCACGCGAAGGGGGCCGCCCACCTGTGACGAGGCTTGTGTGAGTGGGACCGTGAGCACCAGTGAAGACTCTCGTGTGAGTCGGGCTGAGAGTGGGTGTGGCAATGCTCAGGTGAGTGGGGCCGCAACCACCCATGATGCTCGCAGTGATACTTGCACGAGTGGGGCTGTGCGTGCTCTTCCGGCCCAGTGGCAATTAGGCCACGACCTGGTAGTGTGCCGTGGCCCACAGTTGGGGATCCTTGACTTAGAGGTTCTTCTCATTAAGGAGAAGGGAGGAAGTGGAGACGTACATTCAGACTTGCCAGATTCTGTTACAGGTAGTCAGACAACCGGTAACAGATAATCAGAGTTGGAAGGGACCTTGCAGGTCATCTAGTCCAACCCCCTGCCCAAGCAGGAGACCCTACACTATTTCTGACAGATGGGAGTCCAATCTCTTCTTGAAAGTCTCGAGTGATGGCGCTCCCACAACTTCCGAGGGCAACTTCTGTTCCATGGGTTGATGGTTCTGTCAGAAAGTTTCTCCTTATTTCCAGGTTGAAAAAAGTAGTATTGCTCTATACGATTTGGGCTTTGCAGCTTGGCCTACCTCAAAGGGCTGGCCCTCACAGCCTCCATTTACTAGGAACAAGAGTAGAAAGAGGGCCAGGGAATTCTGGGAAAATAAAATTGAACCAAAGCATCCCTATTGGAGAGCCAACTTGGTTTAATGGTTAAGGAACCAGGCTAGAAATCAGGAAACAGTGAGTTCTAGTCCCGCCTCAGCCATGAAAGCTGATTGGGTGACTTTGGGCCAATCACCAGTAGACTGGGAGTTCTAGTCCTGCCTCACACACAAAGGCCAGCTGAATGATGTGAGGCCTATCATCAGATGACAGTGAGTTCTGGTCCTGCCTCAACCATGAAAGCTGGCTGGGTGACTCTGGACCAATCACCAGGAGACGGTGAGTTCTAGTCCTGCCTCAGCCATGAAA